TCTATTTCACCTGCTTCAGAACTATTAGATATCCAGTCCAGCCAAGCTGCCAAAGGATTAGGACATCCATTTAACAGTCGTTATTTCAGATGAGTGTCCTTATAGCTGCTATGCTGATGTGACACCTCAACGCGCTGGCCTGTGGGTGCTGCTGACACAGTGTCTGCTTACTGAGTTTCTGTCGGAGGGCTTTGTCGTCTCACAGCCTGCTGGTGCCGGGCTGACTTCAGTTTTTGTTTGCGGGTGTCTAGTTTCCCTGTTGTTCTGAGGGGGGTATCAGGGAAAAAGATGTGTCCAAACAACATTCCTGACCTGCTCTGTCTGATTGTTTAAAGTACAGGTGATATTCTCAGTGTTCACTAACCTGAAGGCCACCAGCAGGGCAGAGTAGTCACAGTGAGGGAAGCGTGACCAGGGCAGTCTGATATTTAGACACAAATACACAGCAGGAAGTGTGAGACAGCACCAGGTCACTGTCTGGATCATGGATTTTAGTGCGGTTTATCTCATGTTGAATGTGTAATAACCCATTTTTAATGTACACAAAAGCTGCAAATATTATTTTTTTACGTTGATTAAATAAATCGCCTATTTTAATGGTTGATTAGTCAGTTTGAGTTTTGGAAAAAAAAGCTTTTTAAATATGAAGAGATTATTGTTTCTTTACTCTATGACGGTTAACTGAATATCTTTGAGGTGTGGACAAAATAAGACATTTGATGCCATTTTATGTTAAAGGTCATGGCCATTTCTACTGATCATAATTCCATTGTTGAGGTCTACTAGAGTAGATTTATATTGTGCAATTTTCCAAACTCACATTGTGAATGACCATCTTTGTTAATATAATGACCAACTTGATTGCGTATATTTCTATGTTATATTGTTGATCTCTTAACTACTATGTTTTATACATCTGAGTAGGTCTTTTTTCTCACTCCGGCTCGACTCTCGTATCACCTCCGGAGTGTCCCTCCCCCCCGCCCCGTCCTCGAGGTTGTTCGACAAATCCTGTCTCTCACTTATGTGATGATATGTCTCTACGCNCCCCCCCCCCTCCCTGTGAGCCCACTATGCTCTCAGCTCGCCCACTCTGTTCTGATGAGTCTACCACTATGGTCTACCACCGTTACAGCGGAACATCAGTGATTATGTGTTACAATGGCGTTAGCAACCAGAAAAATGACACCAGTAAGGACAAACAGA